CCCCAAAACCCCAAAACCCCAAAACCCCAAAACCCCAAAACCCCAAAACCCCTAATCTCAATGAGATTATTGAAAATATTTAGAGCAATTCCTCAGAGGTGATTATTCTAAGCCTGTGACTGAAGTAGCATCCTTCTGTGCACTCAACAGCTTTTGGGTTGAATATGTTCCTAAAGTGTGTCTTCCTTACGGGGTATTTATTAGAGATAGAATGGAGAACACCGATGTTGATGTAAAACTCCCTCAAAAATTTGCAGAAGTCTAGTTGAGCAAATTTACGGATTTTGGATTGCTTTTTGATATCTAAAATATCTTCCATTGCTCTAGTAAGTGTCCTTGAATCACATTCATATCCAACGAGAGGGATTAGGAATGCATCATTATGATCAGGTACCTTCTCTATTGGATCAACACGAATCCTTCTGGATGCTTGGGAGTAATACAGACACTCAGGAGAGGATTGATAATAAGACCTTGTAGGAGGTTTAAAGTCATCAGTTTTTAAAATAATCCCAAAAGATTTTATACCTTGATCTCAAAACCTGAACAAGTCAAAGGTATTGGCTGTTTTCATAAATTTTAACTTAGTAATGTGAGGAGTCTTCCACGGCTTAATTTGGATGGTATTTGTGAAATATCCTTTTGCTTTACTCCTTTGATTTATAAATTTACACCACTCTACGATATCTTCATCTGCTTCAAAATTGTAACATTTTTTCTTCCCAATCTACAGATATTGATAAGTGCCTTTCAAGAAATATTTCTGAGAATAGAGAAAGAGTTATAAATTAAAAAAATCTGCTCACTTTGATTCTGAAATTTATTGGACTCGTCTGAACAGCACTAATTTTCTCTCAAGAAAACAGAAATTGTCTCTCGGGAGAGTGTACTTCAGAGCAAGACTTTTCTCCATTCTGATATAGGCTAACTGCTTCATTCGTAATCGTGATATAGTACTTCTGTTTAGTTGGAAAAAGGCCGATTCTTGTTCTGATGCGTCGTACTTCTCCCTCAAAAAAAAAATTTTATTTTCTATTAAAAGTCTTGAATACGATAATTCGTTCTGAGTCATTTTTGTTCAAATTATACAGGACTTTAATAGGATCCCTAGGGAATTGCTCCTCCCAAGTATCTGAATCTTCAGGGATAGGAGTGAATTCACGTTTAAATGGTTGAGAATTAACAGACACACTTGGTAAAATTGAACCCTCCTATGGGAAATATTATGTCTACTACAATATCAAATTTTGGAATCATTACTATACCTCTTTAGAAACTGTCTCTTGATTTGATCTAAACCATTTTGAATTAAATAGTGACTCCCTTTTGACAATCTCTGTGTTGGATGATCTTGGTAAGGTAATATCAAATGTCCAAATTTTTATTCTTTGAATAGTTGGCTCACTTATATCATCTGGTGTATCTTCCTCCAAAAGATTGATACTATCCTGAGATCTAAAATAACGAGGGATATCCTTCACTTTTCTAACCTTTTGAACAACTCTTGGACGGTCTTCTTCAGGATAAATTATTTTATGCTCATGAACTTTTGCCATAGCTAGTACAAATTATCTTTTTCAATAATATAAATTTCATCAGGGGTTTTGGGGTTTTGGGGTTTTGGGGTTTTGGGG